TTATAAGAGCGCTCCCCTTAGAGTACGATAGAATACCGGAAGTACGTCATGATAGAAGTTCGCAAGCAGCGTGTAGCTACTCGTGTAGCGTCGATTAACATCGATAACGTTACCCTAAAGAAGATTTTGTCTCAATTTCGAATCAATGAGGGAAAAACACACAGAGAGGCTATAAGCTGTAATAGGCCTTTATGACGAAGGATGAGTAAGGAAATGCGACAAAAAAACTTTTTCAGAAAGCAAAGAAAACTACTTTACACTAAATTTTGCATTCAGTGAATGTCTTGTCCTGTTCATGTTATTCATAAAAATAGATATTTATTTCTTTAGCAAAATATAGACGTTTGTATCTTACAGTTTCCTTTGTCGCTGAAGTAGTTTTCAAGTGTTGTGACTCTTAGCAGGTTCCTGTTTTGTAATCTATGACACGCCTATTATGTTAAGTTAGTATTTGACCTTTAAGGAAACCATTTCAAGTTGGAATTGTTTGATTGATTTTAACAGGTCAGTTTTAATGCCACTGTATGTCGGATGTCCTTTATAATTGCTTTAATTATTTCCACTCTTCTGAAACAGCACAGCGCAAATTACAGGAGATTCGAAAGGGAAAAAGAGGGGGGAAACGTGTAAAAGAATGTTCTTCATAATCTTCTTCTTCTTTTTCTTCTCATTTTTCTTCTTAGAGCTTTTTCTTCTTCTCATTTTTCTCCTTAGAGCTGCTGCTGCTTCTTCTTCTTATTATTATTATTTTTCTGCTTAGATCTTCTTCTTCTTCTTTTTTTTCTTATTTTTCTCCTTAGAGTTTCTCCTTCTTCTTCTTTTTCTTATTGTTCTCCTTAGATCTTCTTCTTCTAATTGTGACTCTAGCGGCGGGCATAACCGTTATATCGTCGGATACCATCTTGTTATGTGGATGTGTACCTCACATCAAGGATTATCAGAGGTCATCATTCAAACGCCTTCCTTTTTTATTAGTGCATCGTTATTTATTTCACAAAGCTGACAATGATCACAGACCTTGTGTGATGTCTAATTTTCTAAATGTAGGAGTTCTTTCTTACTGTTCAGATTTGTGTGCTTACTATGGCTGCTGGCATTTAGTGTGGTTCAGCTTGTTCCTTTAAGGCCAGTTTACACTTGCGATTTTTGCAGCGCGATTGTCGCGCGATAATTGCCTGAGTTTCGAACATGCTTGAAATTTACATAGCTGCAATTTTCGATCGCCGCGACAATCGCAGGGCTGTTTACACGTACGATTTGAGGTGCACGATAGCAAAGAGGCGATTGTCGMGCGACAATCGCGCTTCAAAAATTGCAAGTATAAACRGGCATTTAGACCATCTATGTTCCCTTAGATTCTTTGACCCCTCCCCTCCCCCCACTCAGAGACGTGAGCGCAATATAAGGTTATTTCACGGGTCCTTAATCTTTTCTCTTTCTCTCAGTAATGTGTTTTAATCGATCACGTACGATTGTTGGACATAAAAACATTGAAACAAAGGACCTTTGTATCTAGTAGAAAACATCTACACAGTAGGTAGAAACACTCCCTTCTTAAGCAAGAGACAGTAGGTAGAAACACTCCCTTCTTAAGCAAGAGACAATAATTTAACTTGTTGGTCTTGACGGTCGATATTTATTTATAAACATCGGTAAAAGTTATAATACTTTAATAATTCGACTTTCTAATGAAACGATAAGAATGGAATTATCATCATTATATCATTACTATTTATTATATTATTTTACATGATAGGCATGTCGTTGATGGTTGATTCTATCATCACCGCATTTTAGAATATGTCAAGAATTTCTAGTTTCCCATATTTTAAAAGCTTTATATTTTTCCAATTGTCAGGAGATTGATACATTGTTAGTTATTGTAGATATTTGACTCTAGTCGTATGTACCATAGAATGATAGAGAAAAATTGAATTTTTTTATTTTCATAGTGTGTAATACACGGTTGGTTAGCGAAAATTAGTTCTTAATAGTGAGCGAAAATGTAAGTGTGTTTGTTATAGTATCGATAGAAACGTGCACACGTTTGTCAAAGTAACTCATCTGTTTCGTTCAATGGTCCATACACTATTTATTGGATTTGCTTGGATGAAGCAAAGTAGTTGCACGTGCTCGGAAACAAAACACTCGCTTACACAGAGGACGTCTTCCGACGTCGTTTATGCCCGCATTGCTTTTGTCATATGAACTCGTGATTCAGCCTTAGTTCTCCCTCGATGGGTTTCTTTCACAATTATATTAGCAGTTTCAGCTCTGCTCAGACGTTGCTATGCATGTATGACTTTATCGAAAGAAAAAAAAAATAGCTATATGGAGACGATACGAGTTTACTTACATTAGTTGAATAAAATGACGCACTTAACGTGAATTTAAAGCATTTATATCAATCTATGTGGTTATCGTGTGTACAACCACAAATCACATAACTCGTAGAATTAACCTAAAATCTCTTTGCGTCCTACGTAGAAACTGTTGACCTTCTTGCAAAAGAACAATAGGATATGATGGACTATAAGCAAACACTAAACATTAACATCTGAAGTGCCTAGTTTACTAACGCATTTTCAACCGCTGACTCATGTATACTTCACATGTTGAGCAATTGTCCGTTTTCCGGAAATGAGTTATCAAGAAACAATTAGATGACCGAGTGCGTTTTGTTTCCTGTACTTTTATCAGTTCCAGTGATTTTTCTGCATTAATACAATAGTACTACTCTTCCATAGCGCTGATCATCGTCTATTAGGGGCAGGTGACCCTCACATAATTATCAATGCCCGGAAAGATTACATAACACTGATCTGACTTCGATCTTTGAAGCATGTGTTTTTGATTTGGGTTGTCAGTTCCTTACTGCAATCATTATTAATTAATCATTTAATCAGACAGTTTATCAATCTATCATTTAATCGATTTATCATCAATCAATTTATCAACCAGTCAACCAATCATTTCTCTAATCGATCCAGTTAGAGGCAACCAGTCTTTTTGCGCATATGGAGTTCACTTCAATGACATTGATGATGATGATGATGATGATGATGATGATGATGATGATGATGATGATGATGATGATGATGATGATGATGATGATGATGGTGATAGGTATGACGCAGCAAGTAGGTCTTCTGCAGACCCTGTGTTGTAGGATTATAAATCAGGTCTTCTTATTTCAGGTCCTGCACGCTATTCAAAACACGCAATGTTTGTTTTTGTTTGTTTATTTGTAACCACTAAGAATCGTTTAAATCCCCTTGTTTAATCAGACGACACGCCCTATTAATGCTCTGGTGCCAGCAAAGAAAATAGGTGGAGGCAGACCTGCATGGACATGCTTCATTCTAAGCGATTTTCATACATTGTAGAAGGATTACCTATAGAGACATAACTAAATATTTTCCATTTGCAAATAATGTATTTTTCTGTGTTTTTATGTTTACAAATAGTTAATATCAATAAGTACAGAGTCTTCTGCATGATACAGAATCATACAGAATCTAAGACTTTTAATTAGTCTGAAACACGACCATTGAAATTTCACCAACTCATTCCTGTACAGCTAGACTAGAGGAAAGAGTTGAAGAGTTTGGTTTTCATGTGGAAAATGTTGTGGTTACCTACAAGAAATCATGACCTTTTTTGCATTCAATGGATAAATAAAAATAACAAAAGAGGTTTAAGCGCAGTCGGATGTAGCTAATCATGATCTATTCGAGTTGACATAGGATTATGTAAAAGATACCGAGATATGAACAACACTGTCCTTATTAAGGTAAAACTATTATGTTTACAACTCGTCAACTCCTTGAAGAGTGACGAGCCATATTTGGTATGAAGTTCAGTTTTTTATGCATCTTTTCTTTCAAGTTTCCTGTGTCGGTTTAGTGAATGCTTTAACTGGTGGCGCGTGAATACTGTCATTTCATTGGTTGAATACTGTTTGGCGCCTGATTGGCCACTTCTGATTGGCTGAAGTTGGATTTCACATGATTAAAAGTAGCGACCTTGTGGCAGTTTTCGTGTCTTTGACTGGGTGAGACTAAGACACTCCTAAAGTCACAAGACTAGCTTCATTTGTACCGTATTTCCTGTAAAACTATACCATAATGTTCTCAAATACTAGAAGGTCAATTAGGTTTTTTAACTGTAGTTATGTTTTTCACTATATTAGGTATCAAAACGTTTCTTTCAATCCTCATTTCTAATTCATTTTCTATGAGTGCTATTAAAAATTCTCACACTGACATGTGTAGCAGGTTCTGTTATCAAACCTGAAGGTCTTTTAAGTGCAAAAGACACTTCACTGCTATTTTTGTCGCTTAATTTCTCTAGGAAGTAGGTCTTTCAGCACTAGACTGCTTGACCGACCAGTGTACTTCCTTCTCAGAAATACACTGCTGAACTATTTTGACCTTTTTCCCTTGTGAACATTTTCCCAGTTAGAATATCTACGTGAGAGAAGATTCGCGGTGCGTGTAGGTTTTCAAGTCCTGCTGTGTTTGAGTCATAAGTAGTAACACCATATGGTATTTATGATCACTAGTATTAGACACTAATCCCAAAACTGTATGGTCCCTGAATTTAATTGAAAATGCTTTGCGTTCACATATTACCCGAACGTAACGGCGGCAGCGCGCAGAATATTATTAGCAGAATTATTATCTTTGAGACTTGGTTTCCACCTTGTTACGCGGGTAGTAAAGGAAGTGTGAGGTWGATGCCGAGTTCCGGTTTGTGACTCTCTGTTGGACAAACAGTTGTAACAGTTCTCTAAGAACAATAGTTAAGAAGTGGCTAGTGAGACATGATTATAATTATGTAAATAAGAACGTTCTCGCTGAAGGGTCAAGTTAACTTTCGTTTTAAAAAATCGCATTTTTCAATTTTTCATTAAACCTTCTAACTGTCAAATGCAGTTTCCTGTCATATTGTAAGCTAGGCGTGGGAGAAATCTTACTCAAGATATCCCTTAGGTAGATTGCGGCTTTATGCTCCCTCAGATCTCAGCGTCCGACCCAGGCCATCACGGACACATGTCAGGGTATTGCATCTCTGTATTGTGGATTCTGGGCTGTGATTGGCTGAGGGTTGACAGTCTAACATTTGTATGTAGTGACAGCGAACGAAGTAAACATAGTGCGTCAAATGCAGAAAAAATTAGCTCACATTGTACACTAACATGGTTGGGGACTAGAAGCACAGCATCTGAGCGCGACAAGGCTATCGCGATGGTTCTAAGCGCTGACCATAACACAACTGCAGACTACTTTGAAATGGCTAACCCAGGCATTTTTGATCAACAGGACGAAATCCATTCGTTCATTGAGTCTCTGCTACCGCATGTCAAGTCCTTTGCATACACTTGGTTCAACCTGCAAGCAAGAAAACGGAAGCATTACAAGAAACATGAAGTTCGGATGACACCAGCCGAAGAAAAGCGATGCAAGGAAGAATTGGATGCTGAAGCGCCCGAAATTAAAACAAAGTGGGCCTCAAGACTACTTGGCAAACTACGCAAGGACATAAACGATGAATGTCGAGAGGAGTTTGTGACGGCGATCGCAGGAGCGAAGCCAGGCTCGAGTTGTCGTTGTGTCATTTCTAAGCACGACCAAAAGGGAAAGATGCGGCGAATTGACTGTCTTCGCCAGGCTGACAAGGTCTGGAGATTGGACCTTGTAATGGTGATTCTATTTCGAGGAATTCCTTTGGAGAGTACTGACGGTGAACGACTAGGGAAATCGGAACATTGTCACCATCCAGGACTATGTGTTCTACCGAACCACATCACAGTCACCGTCCGAGAACTAGACTTATATCTAACGAACTTTATGTGCACAAGAGGTAACGTCAAGACTTTTATATTCGTATTGAAGTAGCACTCTTAAACATCTGCCCTTGGTTCATTTTAGACATCCGATAAGTTAAATGAACTAAGTTTTAATCGAATCGTCAAAGTTGTTTATATAAGATACATTTACCTGCTCGTAGCGCAAATCAACAAGTTGAAGTTTCTATTTAATAATTAAGCACATCCATGTGTTTAAGACCTCGTTTAGGCATGATTAGAGAGCTTCTAGCTTAGTGTTTATTACATGTTCTATTSTACTTGTTCTGATTAAACGTTCGATCATATTCGCAGACCATAAAGAGGATTCCGATACTCAAAACAGCGCTCCAAATTCACCCGCAGACCAGCAAGCTCGAATCCAGAGATGTAAGTATAAATATTTAAAGTGTCGTTAATTCATAGTATGATAGATTTCTTAGTTTACTTGCATTAGTTCGAAGTGTTATTGTGCTAGAGGACTCGTGGCAGGTTCGTCACTTTGCCCTTGGTGCTCTCTGTTCGTGTTATTATTTTGACTTCGACACGTGCATTCGTTTGAACAGAATTACTCAACCATTTATGCCTTTGTTTTCAATCTCACTGCGCGTTTAGCTCTTTAGAGCACCAATTAGCTCCTCAGCTGCAAGAAAGTGAACAACTTCGGTAATCTTTGTAATCTCTTAGCGACTTTTGCTTGTAGATTTCACGTTTTGTTTGTCAATTTCATGTCAGTATTTGGAGTAGTGTGTATAGCTCGTGTTTCCGACCCCATGGACGTCCATCGACATAACATCGTAATGATTCGCCTCGCGTAACCGTGATAAGTGCGATATGTGCTCGAATCGAGTCGAATAGAACTTGTTACGAGTCATACGTGGTATTGTTATGTCATTATCAAGAATAAGAATCAATTGAGTTGCTTAGGGACGATTCGCGGTGTTTCAGAGGACTGTGTAATTTCTTAAGCTGCGTTTTTCTAAGTCTCTATCAATCTTTATGGATTAATTCGTCATATCAAACAATAGTCTTATTATATATGACAAACCAACCATATATCCTTGATAAAAATGAAACTAGTTCTAAGCATAATCTTTCACAGTAAGTTGGTTTGCTTTAACCCTGCTTATGTAAAATCGACTCATTTTGACTTGATACTGTCATAATTTGCAAAACCATTGCATCACTTTTTTACTATTTTTTTCCTGGCTTTAATCATTTCATCTGGTTACAACGTGCTCGACTTTGCTCCCTCACTGCTCGCCATGGAACAAAATAGAGAAGTGTTACTCGTTATTGATAAAATCTTCGTTCAGTACCAGAAAGTCTTTGAAATTCATTATGACATCCCAAAACCTCAAGTTTTCCAACGTTTAGCAAAAGTAATTTAATTATATGACATGCTATCTTTCGTGAGAGGTAGGGACGCAGCTCTTACCCGAAAAATGAAATTACGTATGTTTCATTCGAAACTAAGTCACAACTCGTTCTGCTGAAAATATTGTTTTCTCGTGAATTTTGCTGTAAACACGTTTTATTATTCAGGAATTCATGGTGTATTAGTTAAATGGTTTTGCTAATCATTGGAATAACGTGACTCTGAAACCTAATACGTTTATTATTGTGAGGGATGATGATTTCCCCTGAAGCACTGTTCAAGAGATCTACAGGGTCATGACATTATTTGACGTGCTTGCATATTGCATATTCCGCTGACAGCCCTGATAACTACTTCCCAGATTACACCAATCAATAAGTACAATTCTATTGAAATATCTGCTTTGGTTAAAGAAAGAAAGATTAATTTACAAAGGACTCATGTTGTTTATTTGTTATTAGGAGGGGACATGACATTAAGTTTATTTTGTCTCATCTAATAAATAATTCTATTGTTCTTTGATGTGACAAGGCCTGTCCAGCATTAATGAATAATGGCAATGGCATCCCTTTGACAATAGCCATTGTTAGAATGGTTTAACAAGATTAACTGTCTATCATTTGTTCCACAAATCTCCATGTGTATCAGGGAAGGACATCTTTTATCAACCAATCTAATTTACTTATTAACTCCTTATTAATTTATGTCATGCATTACCATTATACTACATTAAGTAATTGAAAACTGCTCTAACCATAAAAAAGAAAGCATGTCATAAAACATTGAAAATATTGTTGACTGTAAAAAAAAAATATATTATCAAAGTTTGTATCATTTATGACTTTATTGAAAGGAAAACTAAACTGTTACAGTAAGTAAAGTAAAAAAGGAACTAAACTGTTACAGTAAGTGAAGTAATTATTTTTTGGAGAAGAACTTTGTTAAGATTTTAATGAACTCAAATCACATGTGCATAATATAATGACAGTCAAGTGTTCATTGTTTGAAATCTGGAAAACTATACTTACTGAACTATATTTAATAACGTTTGTCATGTAGATGAAAAACGTTCTTTTTTAGATGATATAAAAAGCTGAAAACAAATACTAGTGGGTTTTATCTGCTGATAAACAGTAGTGATAATATTCATGTTAAAAATATCACTAACACTGTAATATGGTCAATAAAAATTTGGTTTAGTCGTACAAAGTAGTTTTCCTTGATATTTCATTTAGTAATAACTAAAAATACCCATAAAAAGTTGAAAAGCATTTCCTCTGAATTATGCTGATGCCCTTCATTCTTGGGTTAGGGCAAAGAAAACTTCAAGCAYTCTTGTGGTTTACAAGGCTTTAAGTGAGGTTTTGCAGTCTCCAAGATTCCTACATTATGTTTGATTAGACTTAAAGGTCATGTTATTGTTAATTGTGTTAGATGATCTTGACATTGATAAATACACAAAGAAACAATTACACAGCATTAATATTATTTATCTATTGCTATCTTAATGGACAAACATACTATCATGTCATAGTGATGACCTGAGTTATGTCAATCATCTTAGTTGTCTCTGGCTATCAAGTGAACTTGAAGGAACATATCTTATAACTATCTACAAACACTTGTATATTTATTACCAAGCAGTAAACACATGTGCATAATGATTTGCTTGATTTCTTCTTTTAGTAATAGTAAATAGCCAAGCCTTTGTGATTTTATCCTAATTTCATCATTTCATTTATTTGTCAAGATATGTTTTTGTATTTCAGTGTGAAAGGAATTGTTAAGATATGTTTTTGTATTCCAGTGAAAAGTGAATGAAAGGGATTGTTAAGATATGTTTTTGTATTTCAAAGTGAATGGGATTGTTAAGATATGTTTTTGTATTTCAGTGTGAATGGGATTGTTAAGATATGTTTTTGTATTTCAGTGTGAATGGGATTGTTAAGATATGTTTTTGTATTTYAGTGAAAAGTGAATGAAAGGAATTGTTAAGATATGTTTTTGTATTTCAGTGAAATGTGAATGAAAGGGATTGTTAAGATATGTTTTTGTATTTCAGTTTGAATGGGATTGTTAAGATATGATTTTGTATTTCAGTGTCCAGGGACAATAACCTTGTACTGTCTGGAGTTTTCACTGTTACAGAGCTATACAGATGCTCTAAAAGTAAGTTCATATCAGTCATGCAATAACTCTCACTTATATTCAGCAGATATCACGATGATGATGGGAAGACATTTAACAAACCTCTGTTGGATAACTTTCTTTATATTCAGTATTTTTTTCTAAAACCTTTTTCCTGTTTGTCTTCCAGTTTGAGTTAAATGTTCTCTGATAATCATAACACTCAGCTTTTTAGATAGCAATTTCAAACCAAAAATTGGTTTATGATTGTTAACCCTTGAAGTCAATAATACCATTGTTTTATCCTCACTATTCTGTGCATTTCATAGTGATATTTATTTCTTTTTTGTTTTTACAGCTCCTATACGCTATGGAAGTAACCAAGGGCTGGTGTTAGGGTTTGACAGCCCCCCATATGTCCCAGAAACCAATTTGGAACAACGATTTCCTCAAGCACTAAACATTCAGAGTAGAACAGACCCTCATGAACTGCGATACCGAAAGAAAAGAACTTTAAGTTCCATATCATCAGTTGATGAGGACATTATTGATGATGACTATGTTCATTCACCGTCTGGATTTTCTCCTCAGAATAGTGGTTGGCCAGGCGATATTGATGCAGGTAAATGTTCTGGTATGGAACTCTCTCCCATCTGATTTAAGAAACATTGACTCTTTGCTGTCCTTTAAGAAAGAACTCAAAACTTATTTGTTTAGTTTAGCTTTTAGAGTTTAATTTGTTTTTTAGTTATATTAGAGCGCATAGAACAGACTTGTATATGCGCTATACAAGTTTTCATTATTAAGTTTTTCATTATTATGGTGATTGCCATTATTTTCAATTATTATGATCATCATCATCATGTGCTTTTATCGTTATAATTCCTGTAGTACTATGCTTTTAGAGTAACAATGTTTTGCTATGCTCGTCTAGGAATGGTACAATCACCAGTCATACCATTTCCAGTCAAAATCAAACCAGAACAGAACCCTACTGGTTACACCATGATGGATCAACAATCTAATGTGTGCTGTGGCATGAATGAGCCCCAGTCTCCATCTATTAATACTTATAACACCCAGCAACAACACGTCCAACCAAGGCCTGTCATGTCACCCGATTACAACAACAACATGAATGATGCATACCTGCAGGCATTAGCTGGACAAAAGAGTTTGAATATGAATGGTGGCATAGGGTCAATGCATACACAGCAACAGGGATTTCAGTTTAGAATACCAACAGGACCTGTACCAACAATAGGTATGTCATGTTTGTTTTATCCCTTCTATTCATTTCCCATTTCCCGTCTATAATTACTTCCTTTCAATCTTCCCTCAAGCTTCTTGTAACAATTCATTTGCCAAATATTCTTCCCCTTTTCCCCATTCAATCACTTCTTTTTCCATCTTTCCCAATTTTACCTYTATTTTACAAAGCTAATTTCATCACATACCTCATTGTAGGTTCAGCTCCAGGTCGAACAGGATCTATAACTGCAGAGTATGCTCAGTATTTGGACAGACCTCGTTCAAGTTCTGTTCCATCACCAAGACAGATGGGAATAGGGCCTTCAGCTGTCATTCCTCCGTCATCTCTCCGATCCCAAAACCATGTTGGTATGGTGAATGGAAATAGTACAAACAGTAGTAATATTAGTAGTGCAAACCAATCAGGTCAGTCACCAACACGGCATTCACCTATTCCTACTAGTCCGTCTAGTAGAAGTCCACCATCTGGTATCACGCTGAAGACAACACTACAAATTATCCAGGTAATTGCCKGGTTTTGTTTGGTATTTTTATGTCTTTTGTCATCAACTTTTGTGAGCATTGCACGCCCCACATTCTCAAATTAAAGAATTTCATTGATATTTTCACTCCAGGCAGCTGTAAGCAACTCTCAAACTATGACACCAACTCTATCAAACCAATCACAAGTTTTCACTTATGGCAACTTCAACAATTCTCAAATGCCGACAAGTATGAGCCCTAATATGCCCATGGGCGTGTCACATAGATTCAGACTCCCAACACCACCACCTCAGCTCACCCCGTCCAACAACACTGGTGATGATGAAAGTGGAGAATACCAGCAAATTGTCCAGACTTTGAATGGAATGGCATCTGATGTTTCTATGCTTGAAAGTAAGACATCAGTACAATAGGCACAGGTAACATGAATGCATGTCTGTGCTGCAAACTTGTGTTCATGTTGACTTCATTCATCCCTTGATTTGTACAAATTTGTTTGCTCATTTGTGCATCCATTACTTTGCTCATTTTAGTATTCATTCATTTGTGTCTAAATTCATTTATTTTTTGACCATTTATTCATCCACACATTTGCTTATACTTTCATTTGTTTCTTCAATTTATCAATATATCAATTTGTAACTAACTAATTTGTAATTTGTGTATGATTACTTTATGAACTGGTTTATTCCAGAATTGAAAATAATTATTTTGTCACAGATGATAGAGACTATTACCACATCAATACCTCTATACCAGAAACTGTTGGCTCATCAAGAAGGATATCATCTTAAAACCTTCATTATCAAAGGAGAAAAGTACTCTAATAGATAGAAGAGTTGTTCCAAAAGACTTTTCCAAGGGCTTGTCAGAGGAAGACTTGTCCAGGAAGGAGGGTGGTAGGGTTTGTCCAGGCAGTAGTTTATCTGTGCATTAAAAGAATCCAAGTAGGTGAAATATCTATAGTGACAGATTCAGTACCATTAAAACCATAGTCTTGCTGAGTACCTAAGGTATCAGACATTGCCAGTTAATGTTATAGAAGATGACAGCAACAGTCATATTTGTACTAGCATGCACACACACTCATAACGCAAGTATTTAAAGCAAAGAAATTGCACTGCATCACACATAGCTCAATAGTGTGCTAGATAAAACACTTAGTAGTGGCATCATAAGGGTCATAATACGGCCAGTGTTCTCAGCTCGCTTTGCTGTTGGATATTCATTCTAGGTCATACACGTTTTTAAAAATGTAACTTAAAGTTAAAAGTGCTCTTTAAGAGATTATTTGAAATGAATTTTCCAATGTCGGTAGAGATATTTTGCTGTTTGTTTTTGAAAGACTGAGCTAATATCTCTAATAGTGTGGCTGCTTGATAGTGTTTTGCACAGTTTTCTGCCTTGCTGTGCTCTCTTTCGTACTTACAGCGATTGTCTGCAGCTATTTCAAGAAGCATTGTCCAAGGTTAATWAAKAAACAGCATTCTGGATCGCTTCAAAAATGTCTGGAAATTGGCCAGTATTTAATATGGTATTTCATATGTGTTCACCAGACATTGAGGAACCTGAGAGTTGGAAGGCAAAAAGGAATTCAAACCTCACAAAGACAGCAAAATTTTGTGTCAATCTTCTTCAGGTTTAGGTGTGCAGATGTCTCAAACGAGTTCATATCCAATGTGATGACCACAATTCATTTTGGTCTTGACAACCTTTGTACAAGCTTTTTAAAACTGCTGTTTGTGTAACTGTTTGAACAAAAGTTGCCTCGTTACTATTTTAGCGCATGCGCAGCAACTGTATATAGTTTATATTTCATGTTTTTATGAATCGCTTTAAAGGTCCATCCAGGGTCTTTTTGCGTTTTTCTTAAGTTTCCAAAGGTCCATTAACGGCCTCAAAGGGTCATTATGAGGAGTTCTCTAAGAGCCCGTCCRCAAGGGTCAACAAATGGCCAATAAGATAATTACATTTTTGATAACTATAAAAGAAAGCATAATTTTGAATCTACGGCAAAGCGAATTTTTGAAACGTGCATTATTTATAGACATTATTATAGATTCGTATGTAGGAAGAATTGTAGATTTCTGTAAAATGATTTGTATTTTTATGGCGCACTCTTTCGCACTTCATGTTTTTTGCAAACGCTTTGTATTTACTAGATGTTTATAATGAATTAGAAACTGCTGTTCAATCTCTTAGCCATGTGAGACAGCTAACTGTACACATTGAGCATGCGCAATGGTCAATTAAAGCATTGCGCGGCTCCTACAAACTCATTTGAATACTATGCTAGTTCATCTTGACATTACCGCATTGAATATGTCTGCAAAGTTTGCTGCAATCAAAGACAGCAATAGTAGTTCCTAAATGAGTTTGCACATCGTATTTGGCTATCTGGAAATGCTTGTACTGGTGCCAAATTGATAGAATTAATATTCCATATATTTGAGAGAAAAGCTGTTTTCTTGATCTTTACAAATATAGGTAGCTTTTAGCCTGCCAAATACATGGTTGTTAACGACCAAATATCGTGTTAAGGTGACTCCAACCAGTGTTTTCTTGGTGAAAATACCAGTCTTCATCTGCTTAAATACCAATTTTATCATGATTGAGCAGTATTGTTTACGATGACACAGTTGTAGTCACCTTAATAAAATGAAAGTAGAAAATTGAGTTGAGTCAGGATTTCTTTAAAGCAACACCCAATCAGCCACGTATATGAAGTAGTATATGGAGTGTGCTTTGTTCCAGTAYTAGTCCGACCACTCAGTTTTCTTCGTTGTATTCGAACCGACATATCATAGTTATCGGTTTTTTGGGGTTCCTTAATTACTTTCTTGATGTTTAACATTAGAAAAACTGGTTAATAAATCCAGACTTTTTGAATTAGTTTTTGATACAAAACGTTTGTTGAATCAATAATACAATCGATATAAAAAAATGTCTGTTAAAAATGGCAAATGATTTTTACAGCAAGTTGTTAGATTTTATATATACAGTGAAAGGATCTTATATGTTTTGTAAAAAAAGTAGTTGCCTAGAATATAATAGTAGATGTAGAATAAGACTAAAAAGGTCTTTATAAGAATTTTATTAATATATATATATAATATCATATAGGACAGGTATACATAGTCGAATGAAGGGTCTAGTACTGGTTAACATGAAGAAAGTTTGATATTTTTCGTACCTTAAATGAAAATAATGTTTGTAAATGGTGATGTCAAGGTATCTGAGAAGCTTCACTTGATCTTTCTTCAGTCGGAACAAAAAAAAATATTGTGAGGTGCAAATTATATCATTCCTGGGTTGCACTAATAAATCCAATCTGAATCCTTTGTTATCCAATCAGAGCAGGTCTTCTAAGAAGCTTTGACAATCATCTTGTATAAAACAGAGTGCCTGATGTTAGTAGTTGTCCAGAGGAAGCGCAGTTGCCATGGTGAGTTGCCATGGTTACAGTGCTTGATCACTTTGCTAATGCACCTCGGCTTATGCATAATGTTCAGTCCATTTTAAATGAAATGCCATTCCCTTGAGCCCCGTTTTCGTCTTAAATGGATTTAAGACGAATGTCATTTATTGGATCAGAAATGTGATGGCATTACGTCTAAGCGAGGAGGATCTATTCTAGTATACATGCAGAACACTTGTAGTATGCGTAATGAAATGAAAGGAGATCTTACAAGTTGAAATGAAGCACACCTATTTGACTACCGTTTATGTCTGTATTCTTTTAACCTTGTAGCTATGGTGATCACGWCACTGCTGAATCGAATAAGACGTCATAGTCATGTGACTTACTGCATTWCTTGTAAACATCTGGCACACTGTATATTTGAATAATAAATGAAACTTGACTTAAACATCCTTTGATTTGTTTGGTTTGYCCACCCTTTGCAGAAAATAACCTCTAACAAATTGAATTCCCTTAAACGACAATATACTTTTATTGTTTCTCATMACTACAATGTTAAGCAAAGTTATATGAATACTGCAGTAATATTGATGGTTTTCAACCATTCCCAGGAGAGAAAGTTAAACAAAAGATGTCYGCCATTGCTGGTGGACCTGACAAAAGAAAACCACCACCGTGACTGGTGGACCTTTTTGTTTTGCTCACCCTCATGGGAATGGTTGAAAACCATCAATACTGTCTTGAAGAAAAGACTAATAGAGACGTATATACTGTGAAATAGTCAAAAGGTAAAGCCTATCCAACAAACTATAAAAAGGTTATAAATCGGTCGATGGATTCTTAGCACACTATAAAATGAAAAASTTTGGAAATATGTCGCAAAGCACATGGAAGAGAATCAACCACATTTGATAATTATGCTAACATCTACAATGTTACTGATCGACATCATATATAAATGTTCATACCAAATCTATTCTACTATCATAGTTAACGTTAATACTATATTATGTATTGACAAAAACATGATCGAAATCGGGTTTCGATTAGATACAGACTAAGCAATCGATTAAGTACACACGTTCTGTTAAACAATTGCTCCAAACTTTGGACCTAAAAAAAATTAATCAAGGGTTTAGAATATTTTTTTGGGGGGGGCGGGGGGGAAGGGGGGATTTGAATAGAGAAAGTTCATATTTTCTCTCCGCATATTGTATCCTTACCTTAAAGATGCAGAATACCAATGAACTCTTCTATGTCTTTCAACACGCTTTTGGCAATTTCATATGCCTCTTTCGCTTCCTGAAAGGTGTACACCTCCTTGGGTGCTTTAGCTGGGTTGTGCTTGTGTGGATACCTCGCAGCTTCATAGTACTTCCATAGTTTTCCGGCAGAATGTACGAMATCAGGTGCTCTTGGAAGGCATTTTAAGTCATATGCCAAAGACGTCAAATCGTGGCTCTCGAGCTGTGATTCAGATATACCACTTACTCCATACAAAGCCCCCTTTAAAGCCTTTTCCACCACTTGACTGCACTGAAAGCAAATCAACCAGTAAAACCCATCTTGTGTTTTTGCGCTAAAGAGATGTTTAATGCTATCGAGGTCACTGCGACACTGGAGCAGCCATATCCTWGCCGTTTTCGCGTCTGGTCGACGATACCTTCTGTTTTCACTTTCAAATGAAAAGGAACTACCAAACGTACTGGACGAACCTCCAGAGTAGTTTCTATATTCACCACCAGAATGGAAGTTTCTCGTAAATCCTGGGTTACTGCGACGGTAATTATCATAACTTGCGCGCTGCCTTCTTGCTCTGTAGTCCCAGCTCCTAAAAACGTCTTCCCAGTCAAAGTCATCATCCTGTCGACTGCTGGTGCTGCTGTTGCCACTTGATCGCCCTTTCCTTCCTTCAGACAAACGCTTGAATTCATTTTGCATATACTGGACAGCCTTAGTTGCCAACGCCTCCATSCCTGGATTTTTATCTGGATGCCAGCGTAAATAGAGCCGTTTAAGAGCTTTGTTCCTCTGCTCTTTTGGGAGTTTCATGATATCTTCCAGGGCTTTGTCCATCTCTTTGACGGCCTTTTCCCACGAGTGCGGTATACCTGGGGGATTGGARGGCCTCGATGCACTTGCTCCTGGTGCTTGCTCTTCTCCCGTGTAAGGGACAACATCTTGGGATTCAGACAAGTTTGTCTTTTCTTTTGAATCGCTCACTTCCTCWGGTCGTTTAAGTTTGTACAAGTCAAGCGCATCAACCTCAATATAAGKACCACTACCTATATCAATCAGATACTTGCGAAGTAAGGGATTCTGGTTCTTYCGTTTTCCAGTTGTGGGATCTCTCTTTGCCTTCTTCGTTCTGCCTCCAAGATTCGGTGCTGCGGTTTCACGGATTATCCTTGCATAGATATATTTTCCATCTTCATGGTTTTCCTCCTTTTCATAACCGACTATTTCGTCTTGACGAAATAGAAAATCCATCTCCATAATTAGAAGCTCTTCAAACTCAGGTGGTATCGTTGATCCTACTGTTGTCGATGGCTCTTTGCTAGAACATTCGCGAGTATATCTTTGGATGCCACGATCATCTAACACGGTGGGGATATCATTTGGCCTTCTTATAAGTCCATGTAAAATGCTGACTTCGAGGTGTGCAATGTGGGCTTGATCTACTGCATTGCCGATATACTTATTAACGGCTGCACACAGTTCATAGCTTACTCTAGAGTCATAATTCTTTGCTCCATGTTGAATGAAAATACAGGTGCTTTCTCCATCACTTTTAGTGAAATATTGCTTCGAAGTCTCGCTGCCTTGTTGCTCTTCACCTTTGTTACTCTTCAAAACAGTTTGCAAACTTTCCAAGCATACGATTTCGAACACTGTTGCTAAATTCTCCACCTTGCTTTGTAACCCCTCGTCTATATCCACTGAGCGATTCTGGTCCTTAAGGATTCTTAATATGCCATCATTCAAGTGACCAGATGTTAGTAAGGACCTCAAGCGTTTTGCACTTTGGCAATTTTCCTCCTCATCCATCATACACTTTTTATCAAAGCATTTTGTAAGTACCTCTTCAACSAGAACTCTGGACAGCARTKTCACTTGTAAATGAGGAGGAAGGTATCCCAGAACATCCTCTGGATGATCKCTCGAWTGMATTACACTGGTCAAATCGTGCAATAAATCATACTTGAACTCTTCTTGATCTATTCTTCCTAGGAGTTCATCACTTGCATAATACAAACGAGTTGATTGTTTCATTTGCTCCTTTTTGTCAAGAAGGTAAAGAGCTTCCACGTTTTGCAGTGAAGACAAACGCGTTGTAGTTTTCTCGCGCTCGTCAGCTCTGTGAAGCCTTTTCAGGTTTCTAAACAAGCCACRCATGGCATTTTTCACGTGTCGCATTTCATCAGGATGAACCACTTCCCCTTTGCTCTGTGTCCACAGAATCTCAAGGATTGAAGCATATTGTGAAGGGCATGGTTTTTCAGTAGCTCCAAGGCACTTGAACAGACTTTCAAATTGACCAAACTCTCTTGGAACCTTGTATAGGTATGGTGGCTGCTCTTCAGAACGTTGCATTTCAAAGGCTATCTGCTCACAACGAACGAATACTCTCCCTTCATCAACCAGTACTAGGGGCACTCCACGAAAAAACATATTGATKTTAGACCGATGCATAGCGCTTTGAAGAAAGCTGTAGATGCGAGGCATAACTTGCAATAGACGGTTRGAAACCGATTCKTCCAAATCTCGGTCTTTACTCTCAAACTTTTTGCAAAGTTTTTGGACTTGATTTTTCACTTGTTGCAATGTTGGATCTTCGACAATCCCCAACATTCGTCTAACATTTGCATCACTTGGCCACGCACAGTCAGGGAGGAACGTTGCACATCCCCACACCAGGATGGAGTGCTTACTTGGAAGAGAATTCCTGAATTGAATCATAGGAATTACTGAACTCTCCTCAAACAAATGTTGTTCGATAAGAGAAGTATATTTTGCATCCACYTTGTGAGGCATAACAAATTTAATTGTAGAGACAGCATTGAGAAAGTTGGCCTCATGAAGACTATYCTCTTGAAATAAATAGTCTATAAGAACTTGAGATTTTTTTAGAAGAGCTTTCGWCACTWCATKTTCCGCTTTTCTTTCGACTTCTTTAGCGAAAMATAAGAACTGTTCTTTGGTGAATGTCATCTGCAAACCAATCCTACAAAGAAACAAAATCCACTCCTGTTCTGTAAATGGCTTCCCTGGGAACTTGTCTTTAGAAAGCATGGATTTAAATACCGGGTTTCGTGGATCGTAGTAGTGCGATGCTGTGTTAAGCTCTCCTGAATCTACATGGGGGACAAACCTCAGTCCTTTTAGAGCTGCTTCCAGTCTTTTGRCATCAGTATCATCACTTGGATGTAAAAGTTTGTCTTTTATAAAAGATAGATGTTTCATACGAGTTGATTCTTTGAGTACATTGAACCTTGGAAAGATAAAATCAATATAACAGGAGACGCGTGACTTGAGATGAACATCAAGTAGCTCATGTAGGAGATCCAAAGTAGTATTGGGCTGAAGGAAAATATTCCTAGTGCCTTCCATCCAAATGTCGGATTCATCCAAAGGTATCCCAGGGGGCATCTTGCAAACAGAGGAAGCTCCATCCAAGCTTATTAGCCGGCCATCTATCGTCTCGTAAAATGGCAGTCTGCGAAGGACTGACAGGTATTTTGAACTAGACTTTMATGTTGTGGAGTCTTCTTGTAGAAACTGAAGAAGAAGATTTGCACCATTTACATCTAATCGATCGGAGATGTCGACGTCGGATTTCATCAAAGCGTCAAGTACCGTAACCACGTCATCTATTGAGTTAGGATACGCCAGGTACGGTTTCACGACGTCCGACACTTTTTCACCCCTCAATTCCATTAGTTCTATATCCACTTCTGGGCATCGAAGATCTTGCAACGCCTTAACTACACGTTTCTGTTGGGGAGACCACGAATCTGATTCARATAGATTGAGAGCCGTTTTAGACAGCGTAACAGGAACTAGGTGTCCAGACTTCACTGGTATCACCGGCCATYCTCGTAGAGGTTCAAGAAACCGTTCGGAATGTTGTTTTCGGTGGTTCTTTACGATGAAGTGCCATAACTTTGTTAGCCACATCTTGATGTCCCGGTCCTGTTTCTCTGGATCCCAGGGTACTCGAGCAGTGGTCACCGACCAGGTGTCGTTTTCTTGAAAAATGTATTGGAAAAACGCTGCTAGATCAGCCAAATTCAGTTGTAGTATAGTTGGGGGACTTTGCTGAAATAATTCTTGCATAACGTCTGGTTTTAGAGCTTGAACAATTTTCTTATTTGCAAATTTATTGTAATTTGCAGGCGAGTTAATGAGATGTGAGTAGCTGCTCACGTATACGGGATGTTGCTTGCTGAATACTCGTAGAATTCCATCTTCTGTAACCAAAAGAGGCACACCGTCAAGTTTTTTGGCAAATGTGGTTGTTTCCATGCAGTATTTCAAAAGTCTGAGAACGTTTGCAGTTGACTCAATTCTAGATTCCTTTACTTGACATGGCAACTGTTCCAATAGTGGATTATGACTGGAAAGGAATTCCAAAACTACTTCAGGAGAAACCTCTGTCACTGCAGTGTTTGCCTTCTTGAAACTGCTGTAAATTGATCGTTTTAAGGACACCAAGTTGAATGTAAGGTCTCGCAGAATGATACAAAGATCAAAATCACAATCTGGGCTAGGAAAGAAGCATTCCGAAGAGGAAAACCAAACACAAGTATGTCTTGTCCCTTTGTCCGTCTTGGTCTTTCTAATTACAGGCAAAACGTTTTTGCTGTAGAGGATGATCTTTTTTAACACAGCATCAGCCAAATCTTTCCAAGTAGATTCACATTCTGTTTGGGATGGAAACAGACCCTCGTACCATTCTAAGCCACGATTTGCTTCAAATGCATGGCTAAAGTAGAATTCGTCTTCGACTTTAAGTTGTGGAATATACTTGCGGGCTTCAATCAAGAGCTTGATATATGCATCAGCTATCATTTCGGTCTTCACGAAGTGATTCCATTTAGTTTTGAAGGCTTTCTCGTCTTCATCTTGCCAGAGATGACGTCTTCCTGAATCAAGTGCAAAATGGCCATTTACATGTACAGGAAGATCAGTTGAACCTGGAAGAGGAAGAAAGCAGAACGCTTTTGATGCTTTTTGGCATGATTTATTTGAAGATATCACCTTCGCTGCTACTCCCGCGCGAGGAAGAAGACCATTTTGCTTTCCATCTGGAACGTTAACTCCCTTGCTATCGATGCCTATGGTTTGCTGAACAAGCCACTTTTCCTCCGAATGAATATCCTTAAGGGTGAGTGGGTAGAATATTCCAAATCTTTTTATGTTGCTGGTTGGCAGTTGTTTTGATTCCTTGACGTACGAAGCTAGTTCGTAGCGCTTGATTTCGTCTTCTTTTTGGAGATTTGCTGAAACTTGGTACATCAACTTCAGTTCGCCTTCGTCTACCTTGGAAATTGAAATTTTCCGGACATAATTCAGGAAAAGAAGAGATTCTTTTGCCTCATCTACGAATGTCGAGAGGAGAAGGTCGATGATTGATAGGACTTCTTTTTGAGAGATGTCAGATTTGCTTGCCATTTCTTTGTTTCGCAATGGAAAGCGAAACATGGTAGAATCCTTTAGATCAAACAAATCTCCAAGGTATCCAGGAAATACATCTCGGAAGCTCTCTGTGTGAACTGCTTCGAAAGGACCTATGAGTCTTCCTGGGTTTTGCTTAGTTGCTCCTGGTGCGTATCGAGCATGAGGATCCAAGATGCAAAGGGTGTTTCCATTTGTTATGAAAGAAGGACAGTCAGTMAGGTGGTACACCGMGTTGAATCCAATRCCATACTGACCAGTCTTTTCTGGACTATCAGATTTACTTCCTATTCCCAGTSTCTGTATTCCYTCAAGGTCCTCTTCAGAAAAAGGACGGTTATTGTAAACGCACAAAGCAGGGCCTTGGAGCTCCTTCCAGGAATCTTTGAATAGTTGCTCTCCCTCGTGTTGACGAGKGTCGTAGACAAAATGGATTTCTGTTGCTTTGGCATCATCGGCATTTTGGAGGAGYTCTTTAAGAATTCCAWAATCACAAGGATATGCCTTTAGAATGCCTGCCAAACGGTCTGTTAGGAGTTCACTYTGACCAAACGGCTGACCAAGRRACCTCGATATGTCTTCCAGACTCTTTGWGCGGACATCTTTGGCTCCCAATTTCTGKCCAAGATCAATTGAAACATCTTKGTGAATGTATTTGATGTCGTCTGTGATTKTAATCCATGGGGCATCGTTGATAACTAGATCTTTGGCTGCTCGTAGAACTCTRTTTTGATCTGGCATTKGCGTGCAAYTRTWAGAARTATCCTCAGAAGATTTGTCTAAMAGGSCGCTTAATTCGTCAAGGAATCCCTTTGAAATCATAAACTCATCGTCGCTCAAACTCCTCCCTTCCTTGTCGGTTTTTAGGTTTTCTAATGCTGAAAGAATATCCCGTATTCCGAATGTTCTTTTTACAGCCATTTTTTCAAGAAGTTGGCTGTGTTGAGCTAGAGATCGTGGAACATGATATAAATATGGAGCTCCATAACGTCCCCATTCAAACGCTAATTGTGCACTTCTCACGAAACGATCTTCAATGAAAATCCACGGYAGATCCTCTAAAGAAGATTTGATAAGCTTCAATTCTTCCTCGTTTCCTATTTCGCCATTCAAAAAAGAGTAAATACTATTGCAAACTCTATTGGTCATCAGATGTAAGGRTTTGCTTGCTTCTATCCTTTCAAAGTAGTCACAAACTAACACTAGCTGTTTTAATACTTGTTCCATATTTGGTTTGTTATCTGAAATTAGAAACAGCTCACGTACTTTTGGGGTAAGTTTTCCACAGCCTGTACTACTGGACTCGTCAAGGATTTGCTCTACTGAACCGACTATGTCAATACATGACTTGTCAAACAACTCCGAGGATGACATCATTGTTGTTGAGCTCGCTGTTTCTCCTCTCCATGGATAAAACCATGATTCTGGTTTCGTCATGACGGGAAAAATTTCCAAAGACATCAAATATTGTTGTGTGTTCAAATCTACTGGAAGCATTTCTGATATGTGGCTATTCAGGTATCCAATTAAGTTGGACACCCTCTTCAGGCCATTCTCGTATGGTAAGCTCTTAACCGACAGTGCTCTGTTGCAGATCTGATTCCAGCTCAATTCATTCTTTGCCATGCCAAGCTCTTCTAAAACTAGTAAACGTTTTGGATCAAGAAAGCAATTGCCAACAGGAACTTTGTTMTCCTGCGGYGAATAWAGAGCTGCTGCATCACCTTGTGGATGTACAAGATTCTTGGGCTGATCAAGTAGGTCTTGACTRGATGAGCAAGGTATACAAGAATTGCTACTCAACAAGTCTTTAAAAAGASATTTCTTTGATTCGTCTTCGCTAACCAAGCAGGCATCGATTACAAAGCAAACTACCTACAATGAAAAATGTTAAAATATACTTTKATTAAATCTGATAAATGAAAATCATTACACTCATGATATCATGGTCATATTTAGTCTCATCCAAAAATACTATACAAATCGCAATTTCTAAAGACATGACTTCATTATAAGTAGAATGGACTATAGTAAGAAGGTAGAAATAAGTTATCTGTAGATTACTCGCAGATACATTAGATTTGTTGTTGTCGCTGGTAKAGGGCACCAGCGTGAAAAATGTGCCATAGAAATAATGTAGTCTTTTTTTATTTTTCATAAGACAGCATATAAACTTACTTGATTACGTAGAGCTGCAGCTATGGTATGAATGTTTGGGAAAAACATTTCTTTTAGGAACTTCTCTTGTGTGATGGTCTGTTTTTGGATTTGTTCTCCAAAGCTGCACAAGGCAAATCCCTTCTGGGCGAAAGAGGGAAGTTGAACTGACTTGTGTCCCAGGTGCTGTAGAATGTGGAGGCTTCCAGGGATKTTCATCAATTCATCGTCRGGGAAAGAGCAATCAGTGAATGGATACCATTTATCGCCGCTTCGTAGTAGTGATATCGACGAGCTTGCGATGAGGGAGTACACACCAATAACAAGTGGCTTCCARACTTGAGATTGTATACGATCCGGATCTGGCCACMAAGAACAAAAGTCGTATCCCTCTAGGCTACGCCCTTGGGCCATTCGTTTTGCTTCTTTTAATATCTCAAGGTAAGCCTTCGCAATCCCATCCTTCATTAATGCCTTGTTCCATCGTGCTTCCACAGGTTGAAAATGATGCATTTCCTCCGCTGTTTGTTCCCAGATTCCTCTTCGGTTAGAGGTTATTGCAAAGTATCCATTTACGTGAAYAGGTAAACCGGTTGGAATCGAAAGTGGAAGAAARCAAAATACCTCGCCATTTGTTCTTTGTACGCTCCATGCATTTGTCGATTTSTCAATGCGCTTGAGATTCACAGCAACTCCAGCACAGGAGAGAAGACCTTTTTCCTTTCCCTCTTTACTTGAGGCTAGTTCGAGGGACTCTCCATCACCCATTCGGTCACACTGAATCCAGTCTGTTCTTGTATTTTCCCCATCTTCAGTCGATAATGTAAGAGACACGATCTTTGTTCGCTGAGGAGGTTGAATGCCGTCATGATCATCGAATTTGGTCCAATTTGCGCAGTCCTGTAAGAAGGTAGTATTTGTCAAGGCTCCAGAGTCATACGTGACATTTCTCTCGACTTTCATGAGAAGCTTCATTTCAGTTGCRGACGTTGCACGCTGATTTAGTTCCCAAACAGTTACTTGACACACATTCTGGGTATTCAAAAGAAGGGTGGAAGAGCTGCTGTAAAAGGATTGTAATAAACTTTTCACATCATCTTTGCTGTACTGCTTGTCACAAATCTCGCTAGRACTGCGGCGAAAGGGAAAACGGAAAAGTGTACCGTCGAAGTTGAATGGCAATTCTCCTCTGACATCACAGCCAAAAACTCCATGGTAGGGTTGAAATTGATCGGGGAAGCACGGAAGCGTATGTTTGCTTTTGGCAAGATCAATCTTAATTCCAGGGTGATGTGGGTTTCTTATAARGTTCCCGAGGTGGTTGGTATCGGGATCAAAAACAACTATACAGCTCGAGCTTACAAAACTTGGGGTATCAGTGATGTGGTAAACAGAGTTGAAACCTAATCCAAACCGACCGATCTTTTCAAGGTCTTCTTTCTTGGTTGCTCCAGCCAGTTTGTTGATATTTTGAAAATCYTCTTYAGTAAATATCGCATTGTTGTAGGCTAGCAAGGCTGGACCTTGAGATTCTTTCATTCCATCAGATAATAGTTTCTGTACTGGATGCTGCCTCCAATCCACCAAAAACTTYACCTCGGTAGCTCCAGCATCGTCGGCATTCTGTATYAAYTCCTTGAAAACTCCAGCTCCTTCYTTATATTCCTCTAARATATTCTTTAAACGTGTAGTTATGGGCTCATATGGCCCGGCTTGTTCAAATCCAAGCATCTCAGGTTTAGTGACGCACTGACTCATCGGAGGAACACCAAGATTAAAGGCTATTGCATTGGAAATGTTTTCATCAATCATGCACAACTCACAGAGCTCYGGGAGTTTCTCTAGCTCTGTGTAGTTACCTCGCAGCCARTCAGCATCACAGAATGTACTCTCTGATACAGGGACTAGCTTYAAAGTAGAMGGATCACTCATTACCGGGACGTTCACTTTCTGGCGTAGCTCCTCTGTTAATGCTCCATCTTTGACAGTCCATTGGAGGATATTTATAGCCAAGCGTTTGTCACTAGMCACGTCATCACTACTCATCTGTTTTCTCTCGTGCTTCATCTTGATTTCAAGYAGAACGTCAAGAAGATTTTGYTCMGTGAACGAGTCTTTTACTCCAAACATTGAGAAAAATTCATTCAGATCTTCGTCTTTCATCTCTWCGGGAATAGTGTRAAGATAAGGCTCAAGTTCAAAGTTCATTTGTCTTCTAAATGCAATTGCASTYGGAGATGAAAATCCTTGMCCATTCCATATCCAAGGGAWGTCACATTGGTGCAGAAAAGCGTAGTACTTTGAACGGTCCTGTGCTGCCAAAGCTTTGTAAATCTGYTTGAGCATCTTTSCAAACTTCTCCTTTTCTTCCCCTCGCAAAGAATCAGGGACGAAGACYTTACAAGCGATACTCARCTGYTYGAAAATKTTTGATGCATCTGGAGGTTTGTCCCATCCAAAGGCACTCCTTACACCACTGCAGGGGCTGACTTTCAATACTGGTAGAACGGCTCCAACGATGATACCATATAGYGGAGAAGCAACTTCACTTGGTCGAAACAAATTCGTCTCAACTGACTTCARCGGCATACACATGGGGTAATYTGGAGATGACATCTTTTCGCARGGGACCCATGCAACRTTTAGWAGGTAATGTTGCACMGTCGTACTTTTACAAYTGATRTTRACATGTTTTTCTAACAAAGATGAGTATTTGTYCAGAAATTCCAGAAGTGCAGTTGCTTTTCTGTTTCTCATGTTGGCGTCAAACCTTTGAAGATTTCCTGCTAGAGCTACCAAATCTTCGTGGTCAAGAGTTYCTTTTAGTCCTAAAGCTCTCAATTGCACGAGGATGTCTTCATTAGCATATTCGCCGATTGGAAATTTAGACACTTCACCTTCAAACAAACGTTGGTTCAGGTTGTTTCTTGGATCAAAAAGATCTTGTGGTCTTACCAATCTTCCATTTCCAGAGTCGACAAAGTTCACGCTTGATAGGTAGCTTAATAACTTYGGTTCTTCACTACGGAATACATCAATTCTACGAAGCACCCAACACATTAAAGATGTAACTTGAAGGATTGTGTAGCAGGATAGATGTGGCAATACTTCTCTGAAAATGAACTGTCCCATTGTTAACGTGGGGATCTGCAGGACATGCAATAGTATATGTTGGCTTGAGAAATCTTCCACAGACAAAATACTGCTGGCGTTCTTGATCTTTAAGGGTATATTCTTGTCATATCCGAGTGGAGCTATGAAGCTGTTATTCTGTGCATCTTTGAATGAGGTTTTATCAATMGCTTCAAAAATCGGTAGTGATTTAAGAAACATCTTGCTSTTAYTCGGTAGATTTGTTCTCAGGGTACTTAGAAAACTGCGAAGACTTCGTCTAGTTTGAGGATTTGATCCTCCCACTGAAGCAATACTTCTTTGAGCTCCAGCATTTTGAAGCACTTCAAGGACCCCCTCAGGAGTAGCATCAGCGATGTATGTGGATAAACAAGAATGCTGAGACATATAGTAAGGAACGTCATGAAGAACTGTAATGCCGGCTTTCTTTAGAAGACTAACAACTTCATCTGGCAAACATGAACCATTTCCACGCWGTTTGATGGTTTTTTTGCTTCTGCTCAGCTGTGATAAAGCTTTGTTYTGACCTGTGGAACATTTAATGAGTGGAAAACCCTCTACGACGGTCAAATCCCAAGGGAATGTCTTATGTAGCCACTTCCAAAACRATTCAAGCCATGCTTCGGATGGATGTTCTCCACGTGAAGGATACCATGCAACCGGACCTGGTGACTGGAACATGCTTCCAGGAAGAGCTTGTTTTAAGAGGTTGATAACGGTTTGGGGTTCCAGGAAGACGAGCTGAAGAGGAGATCCGGGTAATTGGCCAGGAGAGACAGTCTTTATCGTCAAGCAATAGAGGACATTCTCTTCCAATTTGGAATCAAGGAATCTGTTTTGCATACCTTCTAAAAGTGCCATCTTGTTGTTGCCATTCTCAACATAAATTACCCCGTTAGAAGGGCACTGACGTCCTGCTTTAAAAGAAGTGAAACACCCATCCGCCAACGGCAGCAATGCAATTCCGGCTAAGTCAAAAGAATTGTTGTCTGAAAGAATGTATTCAAGCATGGAAATTTTATCCTGCCGATTCATGTTAGCAATATCCCACAATCCCTGCCGATTCTTTTTCAGGAGGGCACGGCAGTAACCTGGTGTTACTGTACGAGTGTTTRGCGGAATGTTGTTGTCCACATGGTACGGTAAGGATACTATTGGTTCATTGGCAAGATGCAGAGCATCAATGACAACTGTTCTGACACTCGAGTGCAAGTTTCCAAGTCTTTCAAATACCGCTTGATCCAGATTCAACCATTTACCTCCATATGACCACGTCCAGAACAAACTCTTATTTAACAGCAKSTTAAACAGCGGTTTAATGATCTCCTTCCAGTGGTCATTCACATACTGACTATTTGGCCAACACTGGTAAAATGCATCGATCATATCTTTCGAGATTTGTGGATTATCATTGCGTAAACGAACGGCCATGGCTTCTAGGAGATTTGAGTAAGCCTTGATCCCGACATACTTCATAAGATCAACATTCCATTCGGCCATATCGTCATTCTGACATTCTGGTCCAGGCCACTTTAAGCCGCGGCGGTTATCAGTGAGCCCAAAATAACCGTGGACATGGACTGGGTATCCTGTTTTCGAATCTGCATCGGGTGGAAGTGGAAGAAAACAAAATATCCGACCGCCATTACTGCCGTTCCTTCTTATTCCTTCAGGGCTGATAGGCGCAGCAAAACCAACCCATGGAAGTAAATGCATCGTCAGGGCTTTTTGACGCATCTGTGATTTATCGTCACCTATCATGTTGTGAGTCAGCCATTTTTCCTGTCTTGTCCCGATTGATTCGTCAAAGATCTCTATATCCAATTCAAGGTCGAGTTTCAACACAGCTTGGCTTCCATTATCCCATTCAGAAACTCGACTCAAGAAGTTCAGCCTCTGTTGACGTACTTGTTTCCGACAGACGTCGTGGAGACGTACTCGAAATATGAGCTTTTCTTTCTGGTGTTGATCTGTTTCATAAATACAGATTTCCTCGATGTTTTTTAGGAAAAGCAAAATCAAGGAAGCCTCTTCTTTCAGCGACTGGAAAAGGCAGCGGACTTTTTCTATGGTGTAAGGTCTTTGTGCAAGCATAGACGCTTCTCTTCGCAAAGGAAAACGGAAAATAGTGCCGTTCACAAAAGACTCAGATATTTTGTAGCCTAAAATCCCTTCGAACGGTGAAAACTGATCAGGATAATGGTCCAGAAGAGGCTCCGTGAGATCAAATTGTTGGCCAGTTTCCTTCTTTCCAAAGTAGACTTCGTGCGGATCCAAGAAGGCCAAATGATTTCCACTCACTACACTAGGTAAATCTGCGAATCAAAACATTTTTCTTTTTTTTTTTACAATTAATGTAACTAATTTAATTTTCCTTTTCACGAAATCTAATGATTTTTGTATGATGATATATTGGTATAATTCACGTTTACCTGTCACGTGGTATATCGAGTTGAATCCAATGCCAAAACGACCAACCTTTAAAGGCTCCTCTTTCTTCTTACTGTCCATGAGGCTTTCCAGTCCATCCCAATCTTCCTGCTTGAATTGTGCATTGTTAACTGAGTATAGTGCAGGGCCCTGGAATTTGCCAAGTTGGGGATTCAATAGCGATGATGTCCCGTAATGGTTGCAGCGAGAATCCAACAGGAACGAGACTGTTGTAGCGGAAGCATCGTCTGCATTTTGGATTATCTCCTGAACAGTTGCAAAATACMAAAATGTACTCTGTATCTTTCAGTTTCAAATAAAACAATTGCATTTCCTTTCTCCCATTTTTATTTCATTCACTTTCTTTATCGAATCAAATCACTTTTCCTAAAGCACATTTTACTTCATCACTTTTGATAATCTATGTTATTCATTATTAATTTGTACCTTTAGAATTTGACCTCCATCAGGATATCTCTCTAAAATGCTCTTTATAACACTTGTCAGGGGGGGTACACGTTGTCCATAGGATCTACCTACATGTAATCAAKCAGATGTCTTTGAACTCTCAAAACAGCAGGTATCAGGAACCAGAATGAACATGTTCTTAGATAWAAGTGGTGTATTGAATGCAATGAGGTTTACAGTACTAATAAAATTCGAAACATTTTACAAACTGAAATTGCACTGTGTATTCTGCCTTTAGCTTATTATTTTTTAAAGGTATTGGCACAACTCCGAGCGAGTAGGGTTAGACCGGTACAAGGTTAGTCCGGTATAAGTTTAGCCCGGTACAAGATTAGCCCGGTATAGAGTAAGTGCGAGGCAGGATAAAACGCGATACAAATCAACCGACTTTTCGAGGGACCTGGTTGGTTCTATAGGAAAATTCATTGGATGACGAGGGAATTCCGCAATGAATTTCACGAGAAAAACGATATCGCACGAGTCGCGAAGCGACTTGAATCTCATACCTACACATTATTTACAATTGGAAAATTTTTCGACAACGTGAACCTCGTCACGCGCCCTTCGGAAGCCATTTCGTAGCTGACTATATGATTAGCCAATAGGAAACGATCACAAATTTATCTGTTAGTGAACATTTCATCATTTCATTCACTAAGTTAGAGTGGTAAGTTTACTGTTTTTCAATCCGGTGTTAACAAAACGTCTTATTTACTACGGCTAGAAAACTAATTATGGACTGTTGGCGCTAAAAATCGATGTATTTTACATCACACTATCGAAAACAAGCGAAGAAATGTTATTCGCTGTGATTATAGCTGGTCAAAAGGGGATCCACAAGCGAAGAAAATACACTGAAAAATACTACAATACATTTGTATTTGCAAGTAGTTGGTTTTAAAATGATTACTACATAAGCTTATGGGTAAGTAGTAAGCGATAATCGCTGTTTTCTTCGGCCATTGCGGTATTTTCCGACGTTTGTTGTTGTTTTTTATCGAGACGACGTCGCCTTGTAGAGGCAAGTGAAAGATGTTTTTTGCGGCTCTTTTCGATGTTGAATAAATTGACTTCGAAGTTTGGTATTTCGTATTCCCCCTCTGGTTGTTTTGGAAATTTGAAACTGGACATGTGAAATAASAGTAGCTTAAAAAGCGAAGCGAGTAAAAAACAACAGAGCGCGGGCTTCCTGACTTTTCATTGAATTCAGCTTTTCAATCCGCTAACAAATATTGGTCGTTTTTTATAGAACAGCGATATTATAACAAATCCTGTATATCATTTTTGATTTCTCTATGAAAAGAGCTTCATTTTTTGTTACTTTAAATTGTTATTTGTGAAAGAAATGCAAAGAAAATACGACAAAATCGAAATTCAATCGCGCGGGATCCCTGATTTTTCATTGAACTCAGCTTTGAAGCGTTAGATTCCGCGCTGAATCCTTCACTATGTACGTCACATTTTCGTCATCTCGGACCAATCAGCGCGCGATTTAATTATGTGATATGAGATTCTACGTTTTACTGACAAGATTTTTTTGCGGAAGTGCCAGTGATCCCCTCTTTTCATTTGCCTAGTTATTATATAAGCCACCCTTGATAAAGGTCGTCAATTCTGCACCGCTTTGGAACACTCGCCCTTGTAAAATCTTTTATCTATATATTTCTAATGGACTGCAGAGCAGGGGGGCTGGGGGGCTACAGCCCCCCCTCCCCCCTTCCCCCAATAATTTTTTACCGACATTTTGAATTTTCTTAAATAAAGAAGCGAAGCAAAACGATGGAAATGACATTTAGTAATCACATTGTTTCCTGGCAACCATTGYAATTTTGTGTTCTTTATATTTCCCAAATCGAAGTGTACATTCGCGTGTTGTTTTTGTTGGTTGGGATTGTGGTCTCATAATTGCTTAACAATTTTTTCCTTTTTTTTTTCCAGCTTTCAGTCCAGTCTTCCATAATTACAAAATGCCAAAAAATGTGCATTTGAAATAAGCAGACCGTCGGGGGTCAGCAGCGACCCATTAAACCATGCAAATCAGAGTTTCGCATACAATATTGTTTTGATCCTGGAGACATTTAGTTTAAGATTCATTTGTATTTAGATTATTCACAATACTTAATATATCCTGAACTATTAAAACTTGATGTAGAAATAAAAACTAACAATAAAAACTGTAATTAAAAGGAAACCCGGCGTTTCCTGTCTGCATGGCTGGCTGCAGTTTTCATTGATTTAGTTTTCTACTCTGAAAGATTTACACAATGATATAATAAACAAACGTGACATATAAGTTGAACTACATTTACAACATGCAATCCAGTGCAATCCGATTTTAAGAGAGAAGCGTGTTGTGGCTTACCTCCAACTCGTTTCATCCTATACCCCCGAACCCGGAAATGCGATGATTATGCACAACTTGCTCAATCAATGGTTACTAGGTAGGTTCTACCATACGAAACATAAAATAAAGTAGAGAAATAATATTTACTCAGAAACATTAAARAACTACTGTGTATTTCCCATCATCACTTTCAAACCCCGGAGCCCTTATGCACAGTTGCTTTATACAAGGCATATTCTCACAGAATCTAATATTATTATTTGAAAGAGCAGAGGCGATCATACTCGCTTATTGTTCAGCTAAAGGCCCGGTTCATACGKCGAGCCAGCGTCGCGCCGARCCAAATAGTCAATYGATGTCCAAATACATTGGGTACGATATTCATACGTCGAACCAAATGCAGTCAAAAGCATAAGAAACGGTGCGATAAAACGCAATTCACRCCATTGTTATTGTCGAARACAGATATTTYTGTCAAKTAAGTTCGGCACGACGATAGCTCGACGTATGAACCGGGCCTAGCATAAGATAAAAGAAAACATGTGCACGTCGCTGTCTCAATATTTTTCACTGCTCTCATATTCTTGTTACTAACCCGTTACTTGGTCCAGACAAGGATTAACGTTGGACCTTCTATCAATCAAATAAAAATAGTTTACATCTTACCATTATTGATCAAAATCCACGAGAAAAGCATTGAAAGAAGAAATTCAAACAATTTCTCTACGAAGCCCGGTCACACCACTTCTGATAAAACTACTTCGCGGAATTCTATTAATAACGACCAATAAAAACACATATTTTCATTCGTTGTCCAATCAGAAGCGTCAGAATCAACARACTGTCAAGAGTTTCAACGTTCCTGGAACTGATTTGAATATTCTTCTTGGAATTATGGGAAAATTAACCGGAAATACGATACATTTCAGCAATTCTAGTAGCCTGCGTTTACATCCGGTTATTTTGGTACAGGTCTAAAAGTGATTTTACAATGCACTTAAAAAAGAAAAATGTCATTTTGTGCTATCTGGGTTTGTATTAAGGGTACCATTAAAGTGCACATGACACCTTTTAGAAAAACACTTTTATCCGAAAGGTAGCATGCTGACAAGCATTTCTGTAAAGGAAGAAATTGATTTTGAATAGTATATTCTGAGTTATAGACATTTGAAAATTGAAAATGCAAATGAAGTGACGTCAACTAAGGAATTGGTCCAGACTTTTTACATTGTTTGCGCTATGCTGTTCTTGGTTGAAGAGCTCAAGTCATTAACCATAGTAATAATTGAGAGCTGAAAATGCTTTTTCCAGTGTAACAAAAAGAATAACGTTCTCTTTCATGATTTTGTATATTAAATCATTCCTTAGTAGACGTCACTTAATTTGCATTTTCTAAGTTTCAATTGCCCATAACTTAGAAAATACAATTTAAAATCAATTTGTTTCTTCACAGAAATACTTAGCAGCATTTTCTCTTTTGGATGAGAATGAATTTCTAATGGTGTCATGTGCACTTTAAGATGTTTTTCAGGCTTTTTTAATCAACTCATTGGTTTTGTGTTTCATCTCTTTGTAAAATCTCACAAACAGTATGTTATTGTACTTTGATGTGGATATGTCGATGCATGACGAAGCTGTTTCAAATATTCATTTCCTATCTATGATGATCACGTGATTTTCTTCTTCTTTTCCTTTTCATATTTTGTAAAAATTTCAGTTTTTGAAATGTACCATCTCTTGGCTTGTTGAAGTAATCACTGGTATTAAGAAATGCTCTCATAATTATTTCTTCATTCACTTCGCTTTCAGTTGTCCATCAATCTATCATTGATTTGTCATTTCATAATTAATTTCTATGTTCAATTTTTTTTTGTCCTAATATTGTATGTTGCTCTAGCGCCTTTGTCGCTGATCCTTGTAAGAATGGGTCAGGCGGTCACTTGTTCGCTTACAACCTTCGACCGTCTGCAACGAAGGCTGTATATATTAAAGACAATACTACCTTTACAGGTTATTTTATTTTCTTTTATTCCTCTTCTCAGTACATTAATTCCCCAGAATTTAGTTTTATCTATTGCATTTTACTTATTCTTTTCAGTCTTAATTTATTTTCTTAACACTCGGCTTTTCCGCCTCGTGCAATCTGTCCGAGCTCCTTACAAGTGATGAATCCGTCTCCTGGAAATCAAAAGATAAAATGATGATATTGAATGAATACGATAACATCAACAATGACACGCTTTTCATAAAATAAAATATAGGATCAAGCCATCTATTGAAATCATAAGTCATTTGCCGATATCTGTATCTATCATTAATAATGGTAAAAAAAGCCACCTTACCATTTTTGTCCAGTGAATTGAACGTTTTCTTCGCGCTACGCCTCTGCAATGGATGCGGCAAAACTTTCTCAAACTCTTGGAATGAAATGCGACCGTCCTTGTTGGCATCGTAAACTGACATCTTCGACGGAAGCTCAAGAGAGGCATCGACTGAAGAAGGGTCGTCTACTTGTTGTGACTGAAATTGGAAAGATATCAGAACAACAAAGAGAAGAATATACAATCAGACTACTTGCAACGATTTCTTTTCTGCATTTTTGTATAATTAAAGTGGAATTTGTATCATCAATTTTTTTTGTTTCTTTCTTCTGACGTACCTCTCTCTTTCCCCAAGAGCAATGAAAACCACATGAACAGTGCCAAACACAACCGGGTTTAGCATCAGCTACCTGAATATACATAATATAGAATCAGAATTATTATCATTATTTATGATGTAATGATCATCATTACCACGTGGAAGGGCATTATTTTGGAGAGCTGTATCAGTCTTACGTACCACTTCTCTCTTTCCATAACAAAGCCATCTGCAACTACAACTTTTTTTGCACCCAGCTTCAGCGTCGGGCATAATCACCACGATTACAGCCAACATCACAAGCAAAGTCTTCACAATCATTATTGTTGATTCTGAGATAAACCAATAATGATACTTTCATATAACACATTGTCTACTACATCGATCAGATGTATAGAAAACATTGTTTTCAAAACTGAGTCCGCGTAATTGAAACTGGGGTTTTACATGGATGGTACCGTGTGAATATCAGCGCATTCCTCATTAAGATGCTACATGACTTTCATTATAAATACCCGATAGTTTCTTTGATTTATGCCAATCTTATTTACTATCGTTGCTCGATAAATAGTCATGTATAGATTCTATATATGATTTTATGGTCGGTACATTGACGGCAGATAGTATCGCAATGTTCACTTATTAGCGAGTTGTGTTCAAACTACGACAATGAACAGTTTTATCAAAATTCATGCTCTTTTGCTTCGTCTTCAGCGCATTTAACTATGAACAATGCAAAAATTTCACAATAGCGCATCAGCGATGCAAATACCCAAATAAATACAGAAGGTGATTTCTTTCAAAATTAGGCAAAGCTATACAGTGAATTTCTTTCTTTCAAAATTAGGCAAAGCTATACAGTGAATTTCTTTCTTTCAAAATTAGGCAAAGCTATACAGTGAATTTCTTTCTTTCAAAATTAGGCAAAGCTATACAGTGAATTTCTTTCTTTCAAAATTAGGCAAAGCTATACAGTGAATTTCTTTCTTTCAAAATTAGGCAAAGCTATACAGTGAATTTCTTTCTTTCAAAATTAGGCAAAGCTATACAGTGAATTTCTTTCTTTCAAAATTAGGCAAAGCTATACAGTGAATTTCTTTCTTTCAAAATTAGGCAAAGCTATACAGTGAATTTCTTTCTTTCAAAATTAGGCAAAGCTATACAGTGAATTTCTTTCTTTCAAAATTAGGCAAAGCTATACAGTGAATTTCTTTCTTTCAAAATTAGGCAAAGCTATACAGTGAATTTCTTTCTTTCAAAATTAGGCAAAGCTATACAGTGAATTTCTTTCTTTCAAAATTAGGCAAAGCTATACNCTTTTCCGCCTCGTGCAATCTGTCCGAGCTCCTTACAAGTGATGAATCCGTCTCCTGGAAATCAAAAGATAAAATAATGATATTGTATGAATAAGATAAATTAGTCCCAATATCGACACATTTTTCGGATATAAATCATAAATAGAAGAAATTACATGGTCGATTGCAGATACGGATTTTATCTTCTCGTGTTGAAAAGGATCTCTCACGAGTGAAAGTTGAGAGATTTTCAACACGAGATGATAAAATCCGTATCTTCAAGCGACCATGTAATATTCTGTTGAACATATAATTATATATGAAAGCAACTTATGTCCCAAAATACTTTTTTCTCTTACTTCCACTATATGGAGAAACCTCGAATTTTCACTAGTGAAAAGAATAACTTTACGTAATGGAGAAATATAGGTATTTTATAGATAATTATATGATAAAAATCAATATTTAATGGTCCGTAAGCCAACTATTACAGATGTGTGTATCTGTCATAAATCATTGTAAAAATTGCTATATCGTACCATTTTTGTCCAGTGAATTGAACGTTGTCTTCGCGCTACGCCTCTGCAATGGATGCGGCAAAACTTTCTCAAACTCCTGGAATGAAATGCGACCGTCTTTGTTGGCATCGTAAACTGACATCTTCGCCGGAAGCTTAAGAAAGGCATGGACGGAAGAAGGGTCGTTTACCTGTGATGAATGAAAGACAATTTATCAATAAAACGAAGAAGAGAATAGACATCATCAGACTACTTCCAGAAGATTTAACGTGAAAATGGACGATTGTTTTCTGCTTTTTGTGCAATTTAAGTGGAATTTTTATCAGTATCACCAATATTTGCTTTGTGGCCGACGTACTTCTCTCTTTCCATGGCAATTGATAGAACAGCTACATCTCCACTGACAACCAGGTTTAGGATCGGCTACCTGTAGATGAAAGGGTTATCAATATAAAATCAGAACTAGTATTATTATTTATGATGTAATCATCATAATTCAAGTACCATGTGACAAGCAAAGGCTTTTTGCTTCTGGCTGAATGTCAAAATATGTATATTAGTCTTACGTACCACCTCTCTCTTTCCAGAACAATCAAAACCGCAACTACAACTTTTTGAACACCCAGCTTCAGCATCGCTCATGATCACCATGATTACAGCCAGCATCACGAGGAAAGTCTTCACAACCATAATTGGTGATTCTTGTCTCAAGATGAAAACTAAAATGATACTTTGTTATAACACTGTGTATCTACAAACAACATCTGATTATTGAATAGATGTATTGAAAACATGAGGAATTGTTTTGAATTTGAATGAGTCCGCATAAAAAATCTTATTGTCCGGAATTGTCAAATAAGTTTCTATTTGGGTGGTAATGATCTGTATCTCGGCTATACCGAGTCAAAATAACTGTATGGAAAATCACTGCATTCCTGAATAAGGTGCTAAGTGTCATGTATCAAAGATGTATGGGACCTTTTATGAAACAATGAATACTACCTGGCGGATATCGCGGTAGTGTACAGTCTCTGGTGGAAATGACACACTTACCTTGAACGGATTAGTATAGTTTCTGCAAGTCCTTGTAGTTCTCACTAGTCTGGATATACTGAAGATGTGCAGTAACGGTGCTTGATTTATATCGTGCTGTGGTTTCCTTTCCTCAATCGTCCTTTTCATTAAAAAACAAACTTTGGATGGATTAAAACTTCCGTAACTAAAAATATCGATAAMMAATGATWGTTTCTGTGACACGCTTTTTCTCGATTTTAATRTCATGCGGTTTATAACGCGGAAGTACTTAAGATTWTTCGACAATTTGTTTACATTGAAATAAGTAGCATAATTGCAGTAAACAATCACTTGTCCTCCTTGTAGTCACAATTAAAAGAATATTATTGAATATCTCACASAAATTAGTCATTTTCAGGACGATCAAAAGTAAATCTTAATCAGTTCCAAAAGTTTCCAAGGGCAACTGTCAAAGCAATATTCAACATTCTATGCTCACAGTATGAGTATATCATTTCCAACTGATTCAACTGAACAAGAGGTAGAGCAATAAAATATTGTAATGACACGTATGTTAAAGTGTCTAGCACCAAAATTCTATTTTGAGATGATTGACAGCAATTTAAGGAAGGTCATATACTTGGGGTCAACAAAATCCACTTCCTCATGATATTTAAGATTTTCCTGTTTTTTTACTGAAAGTTAATGTCCATCATACCAAAATAGAATTTTGTTGCTAGCATCCCACAGATAACAAAAATTACAGCCAAAATCACTAGTTAAGTCTTTACTATCATTTTTGTTGCTTCTGAAAATTGATAAAAACTAGAATAATTCACTGGGCAATACTGTGCAATTACGAAACAAGCGAAAAGTTCACAAACTAAAGTTACTATGGGTCGGGTTAAATTTAAGACCAATATTCACTACCTTCATCTCATATGACATTAATTAAACTACTGAGTAAGATATCAGCAAGTGTACTTTTAAATAGCACACTGGATACACTAACGTGTCCACTCTTTTTTTGTCATATTTGTATCACCCATCTCAATCTTCTCGTTAATTGCAATTAAGCACATAAGCATGTAATTGAAGTCCTAGATATTTTCATATCATATTTTAGGATTTTCGTTGGTTGCAGACCATGTACTTTGGTCAGAAATCAGTGATATTTCATGACCTATTCAAATAGTCAAAAAATACATGGTTCTTTACGGTGATTTTCGAGTCCTTATAACCAATGCATTTAGGTAAGAAAACAACGATTGTTCATAATTTTATGAACTATGTCAATGCATTTTTATTTGATTTTTGTCAGCTATAGTCCACTGGTTTTTGGTCATGTATCAGTTTGGAGATTTTCATAGGCTAAAAATAATATAACTTTCCCTTCCAGAATACCAAAAACCAAACAGGAGACTGTAGACATGTCTATCGCAAGAATAAAACGAAAAATCGCCACTTTGGTCTCAAACCAAAACTGCAAGGCAATTTCCATTTTGAAATCAGTTTGGTTTGGATAATACTTGAAATACTGTGATGAATGAAAAATATGTCTGATTAGTTGTTCAAACAAAGAAAGAAACAATAATTCTCTTTGTAGGTTATAATGCATGCTTTTATTTCGTTTTCACTACATATGTTTGTATTTATTATATCATGATTCAATGTTAATTTCCTTGAGTCGGTTTTCCAACACTCGGCCCCTCCGCCTGGTGCAATCTTTCCGAGCTCCTTACAACTGACGAAACCGTCTCCTGAAATTTGAAAAATAATGATAATGAATGAATAAAATCAATAGCGTTACGTCAAATAAAAAATCAAACAAAACAGAGCCATTCATTAGAGATGTCTTTAAAAAAAAGTGATGCGTAAGCACCACGAAAGAGTCACATAAGTGGTATAGGATGTATAATACCATTATTCTCAAATGATCGGAAATTTG